GTTTCTCTTAGTCTGAGTAAGTCTCATTTTGTTCTCCCTTCTCTTTTTTGAAGTCGTGGAGGTGACTGAAGGCAACACGACCACAGTAAGTCCCTTCACCCCTTTTCCTCAGTAGTTGCCCTTGCTGTCATTTCTCTGTCCTTTAGCTTCCCGTTGGGTATGTGTCTGTCAAGCCCCCACTACGATGCCCAAAAGAAAAAGGATAAAACGGTCGCATTTCTGCCTGAAAGACATCAGGGCAGCCTGATCTAGTTGCAGATGCCCCTGCTCATTGCAGGGCAGGTGGACTAGATGCTCTTTGAAGGTCTTTTCCAACCCAAACCATTTTATGATTCTATTACAGGGTGCGATGGGAAAACCAAGGTAGGAGTGTGTTGCAAATGCAGGAGAGCAACAGGGGGTTTGGCAGCTAAAGGTTGGGGTCATCATCCTGTTGCTGGTGATGGGTGCGTCCAGTCAGAGCCACCCATAGCGCTAAACCCCTCACCATACCCTGGGAAACTTGGAAGCCATGACCAGTGGTATTCAGGACCCAAAATGCAAAAGGCATTTGTTCAGATGCGTTCGTTTCTTAAACTGGTGATGCTTGGAATCATCTTGAGTGTGAGGAGGCATGAAGGAGGTTTACCTGGTGGCTTTGTCACCTCACCCTGGGACAGCAACACTATGTGGCATCGCAGGATGTCTCTCTACCAGCTCTATGCCACACATGGCTTGCCTTTGCTCTGGTGCCATAGTGACTGTAGGTGATACAAAGTTTGCATCTTGTAACACACTTGGTTTGGTAAGGAAAAATTTTCACTGAAAGCGGTGTTGTCACCGGAAGACCTTAAATACTAAAGGAAAACTGCTCCTGAAAATAAACCATAAATTCTCTAGTAACTGATAAAGAAGAGTATTTTCTCAGCTATGATTTAAGATGGGAAGAAAAAGACCAACACAATAGAACTGGAAATTTACTTAATAAACTGCAAGAGATCAGATGGTGTTCAACAAGTGAGATTTAATTTTTTATAAGAAGTACTGAAATTTGTCGGAGGGGGTAGGATTGGAGAGAATGCATTATTCTGCTCACGTTACATATGCTAGTAGCAATCTGTGCCTTAGCTACAGACAGATAGTGCAAGTACTTTGAAATGTGTAAATACAGCGAGAAGAGTGGAGCAGGAATTATTTGGGAATAGCTAGAAGACAGTGCACTTAAATGCTAATCTATATATACATAATAGTAAGGAGGGGACATACTTCCTTGCTTGCTAATGAAACAGTCAAAACCTGATTGCTTGTGCCTCTGAAAGTCTTGAGTTTCCTTCTTGTTGTATTTGTGTTAGTGGACGTTGTCATGTTTGAAACCTGAATGGAGCAGGCTGCTTATAGAATATGGTAGTTAGCGTATTAGTTATTATTTAGTTAGCAGTTAGTCTCGAAGACTGTCAACAAAAATAAGGTTAAGGTGTGAGTGGGTTTAATGAAAAGTCTTTTTTTTCTTCAAGTGCCAGACTACTAATCTTTGCCCAGAGACCTGAAGAGAAGTGCTCACAAGCGTGCACTGAAGTTGTTTTAACAAAATCAAGGAAGGAGTATGCACACCAACACATGTACAGTGGGTTGCTGTACTTTGCACTCATTCAGTTTCAGAGGGAATGCAAATTATAATCACAAAGTGCTAATGCATTAACTGAGGCTTGAAGTAAAAAAGGTAGGCATTGAAATAGCAGAGCCCTTCAGAAAAAAAATTCTCCCTGGGCCGTCGTAGAAGCATAAGGGGCACTTGGATATTTCTACTGTATGATATCCTAGCATCAATCTAGGATCTTTCAGCACCCCTAGATGAGGAACATCTTGTAACAAATAGTGTATATTGAGCAACCAAAGGGCTGATTGATAGACTTCTCAACGTATCCTCTGGTCACTCCATTTATCCTACCAACTTTACGTCAGTCTTTCTGACTTCATCTTTCTATGTTCATCTTCCTATGTGTCCCTGCTTTTATTAGTATTGAAGGAAGTGTTTGACATGAACCAGATCAATGAATCCCAGAGAAATCTGAATTTCATCAGCATATTGAGAATATACAGCCCCTGTATTCCCTCCTTAGAGAACTCTAACAGAAGAATAATATCTGGGTGGGTTAAAAATATGAAAATCCTCAGTAGTTGGGGAATAATTGCCAAAGAACTGAACACTGAAATTTATCTTGAGAAGAAATTATATTGACATTGTATTCTGAATCTTTATTCAATTCCAAGATGGAATTACAGTTAAATTACAGTCTGAAGCCAGACTGGCAAGAATCAAAACCAGATACACTGGCTTCCCAGAAAATAGCTTTACCAATGAATAGAAAATTAGACACTGGCCTATGTTTTATATTCACAGTAACTTTTTTGGTTTTCTAAAACTGGCTGTTCTACTTGTGGGAGGAGGAGTCTTACTTAAAAATGGACCTTTTTAAGGTAGCAAGATGCTTGAACTATCTACAACTTATCTTTTTCCATTTTGCCATCACCAGACAAGAAAGACAAAAACCCATGGTTTAAAAATAGTTGTGACAGTTCAGCTGGATGCCAGTTTCCCATGCATACTTACAGAAAACATCATGCTTTTCTCTTCCCAGGTTTTCAGGCACAGAAACTGATGGCTCAGTCTAAATCAGCCAGCTTTTTTCTTAAAAGTAACACTGCTTTCCACCCAGAGTTTGTTTTTAAGCTCTCTGGTGCTTGCACTGTTTGAGAGTATCATTTGGTGTTCAAAATCTGGTTTTAATCTTACTTTGAGCAGAGGAAAGTTACAGAATATTTTGGAGGGAAAAAAAAGTGGCTTAATTTTATTGTCTTTTCTGTCTCATTCATCTGCAGTTTGAGATAGCTCTTGCTTCTATTCATAAGTCCTCAAAAAAAGGCAAGTGCACATGTAGATAGACTTCGTATTTCTAACATCTACATTTAGAAAACAAATCTCTCAAGTTCTTCCCACACACACCTGTATCTCTTTCTGTGTTACTTTGGAGAAAACATGAGTGTTGGATGTCACCACTTCCTAGTGGTATAGAAAAGGTGATAAAATGATCTGCTAAAGGAATCGTTCAGGGAATTAAACTGGATTTAAAAAGAATTAAAAAAATCCACAGACATCTCCTAACAGTCATTTCTTAAATGTAACTTTTGTTCAGAACTTTTCCTGCTGGTGAGTTATAATCTAGCAAGCCCCTGTGTGTTTTCACCCACAACAGGCATCTGCTATTCTGAGACATTCTTGTATTCCCAGAAAAAAATGTGGTTTAAAGCTTTTGGCTAAAAGGCCGCAACAATTTCAAGGCATGGTGGTTCATAGGAGTACTGCAATAAGTGGAATTCAGGGGGATATGAGAACTTCACACTGATTGTGAACTAGTTTTGGTTTAGTAAATCATATACATGAATTTACCAAATGGTTCTCTATGCCCCTTAGATTTGTTCTTCTCCCCATAGTCTGTGTATATCCAAAGTGCTTATATCTACAGATAAGTGAGTTGAATAATGCAGATACTCCTTCCTTTATATCTGCACAATAGTGGTCAACGTGTTGTGCACTTGATGAAAAGTATTCCTGAAGTCACAGGTGCAGGTAGAGGTCTAAACTATGCCCGATCATTATATCCTCTGAATTGTTTCCTAGATTGAAGGGAGAATTATAGAGGATAAGGATGCTGCAACACCAACTCCTCCAAACCCCTCTGGCCAGTGTCCCATCTGTCGCTGGAACCTGAAGCATAAATATGATTATGTGGTAAGTTTAATGAAGGAGAGTTTCCCCATTCTCATAGCTAGATAAATATTACTCTCAGATCTACATACTACTTTCTTCTTTTGTTCTGTGAAGTAAAGATAGCTAACTCTACCTCTGCTTCTCTAGGGCTTAACAAAAGCTTCCTACATACTAATTGTTTGCCTTGGCTGATGGTATTCCTGGGAAAAAGAAGGATGAACTCATATCAAATAGGAGGTTTGGAATTATACACATGGCCATCTGATCTGAGAAGATCATATGTCTCTCTTGGGTCCAGCTGCTGCCTTTCAGCATTGCGCTTCCAGGAGAATCAAACTGGAATGCAACATACAGTCAACTGATAAAGGCCTGCTCTAACTCCAGAGAGGCCAAAAGACTTGAGTAGATCAATTATGTATCTACAAGGACTACCATTTCTCACTAGGTCATTGTTTGTTAAGATAACAATTGGTTTATATAGCTTCTAAACTCTTGATGTGTATGAAGGAGAACATATGTGTTTACATCCTTTGCAACATCAAAAACAGGTTTGAGTCAAGATTTTTGCAGGAAACGCTATTGAGAAGCTTATTAACTAATGAGAGGATTAGTAACACTAAATGTAGAAGATGGGAGTGAAATCCTCTAATGGTTTAAAACAAAAGCACAACAGTCAAGACACTTTAGAATAAGAACCATGATATACAAGATACAGAATGTAACTTTACAAGAAGTCATTCAAACATAGAGTTTACAAAAGGACTGAGTGCCCACCCAGCAAGCTAAAACCCCAGTACTGGAATTAGAAAAGAAAAAAACCAGACAGGAGCATACTGTTAGTGAGATAAGGCAACAGAAAACTCAAAATGTCAATAGGAGCAACTTAATGTCAATAGGATTAGGGCAAGAGAGATACAAGTGCACCTGGAGGAAAAGAAATCTTTGTGGGGAAGTCCATTAATAAGAGTAGAGGGGACTGAATGCCACGTTGGCTGCAGAATGACTAAGCTGCTCACATGCAATCCTAGGACACACACAGAAGAAAACTTATGTTCTAATATCTAGGTAGGAATGGCAATCTTGCAAATGTAAAACAACAGGAAAAAACAGGTACATAAATAACTTAAGTATTGAATTAGGTACTGACCAGCAGACCAAGATTGTATATAGCCCAAAAATCTTAAAGGTAATTAGCTAAAAAACCACATTATTTCACTTGCAGGATTTTTTTTAAAGCTTGAAAGAAAGTGCTAAGGAATCACTAAATGGTTTGAAAATAGCAAGTGAAATCCTAAGTAGCTAGGAGAGGAAGGGGAATGATACTAATGACTACCACTTGGTAACTCAAACATTGCAAATTTGAAGTAAAATGGTGTCAACTAGGACTAAAATAACCTGTTGTATAGGGCTAATTAGGACTCATGAATTATGAAGAATGTGGGTATAGCAATAGTACCAGATAAAATACTTGCAATTAGTCCAGGCAGGTGAAACAACAGATGGGAGATGTAAATGAAATACTGGTTTACTATCTTTCAAAGCCTGTGTTGCAGAAATAAAGTTGTTCAGGATCTGAGGGTTGTCAGTGATTAACTCAGGCTGGATGCAATATTAAATGGTGAAATAAATTTGGGGCAGGGGAGTATTTAGTGTTCTCTGATCTGGTTTCTCAACAGTCTGGGAAAGCTAAAAATACAGCAATTTGCAAATGATAAAAATTCGGGGAAAATGGCACATACCATTAAGGTATGGAAAGTACTACAGGAACAGATCACACTTGTTTTATTTTGCTCGTGTTTGAATGCAACAGTGCCTTGCAGCTCTTTCCTTCTTTGTGGTTCCTGAACTGTGTTGTGATCAAAACAGACCGATCACACTGGAAAATATTTAAGGTTAATACATTTTTATGTGACTTCTAAATGCAAGGGGTCAACAGCTTCATTAAACCAGGTAGTTCTACAGATTTCCAGAGAGCATTCAGTAAGTCACACATTAACCCAGAGAAACTATAAACTGATGCTTGGGGATGAAATAAGCTATAGGAGCAGATTAAATCTTGGAAATTAATATATAGACTTACTTTCTATATCTGACTGTAGAAAACTGCATTGCATATAGAGACAACAGTGCCATCGAGAACCAGAAAAGCCTTTTCAGGTGATGTGATAGTGTGATGCTGTAGAGGCTGAATTTCAGGATTAGAAGTAGGCTGTTGGTCCCAACAGGTAATGTAAAGCATGAGCCTTAGTGTGTTGGTAGAGTGAACTAAGGTTATAAGTTTTCTTCCCCACTTCGGTTTGATTTTTTTTAAATCCTGGTTTCTATTGTTCAGTATGGAGGCAAGAGAAAACCAAATGTGAGGAGAGATCCTGCAGCCAGAGTCTTGAGAATCATTGCCAAGAACATTCCTAAGAAATTGTGGCCCTGAAAGACAAACTAGGAACATGTCCATCCTGTCAGTTATGTAATTTTTTGAATGTGTATGTACCTGGTGTATATATATTCAGTACTCCTGCTGCAGAGCAGAGGAGAATCTAGACAAAGAGCTAGAAAGCCATTTCCAAACTGTAGAGGTTTCTTACTGCAGTATTTAGATGCATTCCTCTGTGGGGCTCATGAGAACTAGGAGAAATTTCAGTTCTGGAGTAAACTGCATCTTCTGCTTGAGTAAGTCCCTTATATGTTTGAAAGGTTTGTACCAGTCACGGATTTTCAGGCTTTTAAATGTTAAGTTGAATAAAATCTCCCTTTTCTGCACAAAAGTGATGTCTGCTCTTTTTCTTTGCTGCAGCAGTGATGAGCAGCAGAAACTTGAAATGCTTAAACAATAAAGTGCAGGCATTTAGCTGTGTGGGTAATTAAACAGTGTCACAATTTACTCACTGGTTAATTGTCTTTAAAGTCTGTAAATTGAGAAGAGCTATTTTTGTTAAAGATAGAGCTTAGTTCATACAGCATAACCTATAATCTGTGCTTGGTAAGAGATCAGAATAGGTGGATCACAGTGGTTCCTTTGAGATTGATAAGCTGAGATCAGTCGGTTGCACAGAAGAGAAAGTGTGAGCTTTTTTGCTTGGGATGCTTGTAATTGGACTGAATGAGGCACTATGAAAAGGGAAGTGTTGAATTAGCCCCTGAGGGAGCTGAGTAATATGACCTCACAGGACTTTCCTTTTGTCATATGCAACTAGCACCGTCTAAAGTAGTGGCATAATGAGTTACTTTGGCTGTCAGAGAACTGGGGGACCAATGTCTCCAAAGTTATTAATCAACTGAACAGGCATTGTGAGCACCAGCAGGTCATGATTCCAACCTGCCTCAGCTGCGGTGCGGAGGGCTGCAGTTGTCTTTGCCAGCTCAACCCTTAGTCTCTGCTGAGGCTCAGTATAACAGAGCCCAAGGTATAAATTCCCATAGTTTTTGGTCTGTGTGGGTCTGGCCATTGAAACTGAGACCTCAGTTGATTTTTTTCACATCCACTGGAGATTTAAAAAAAAAAAAAAAAATTTAAATATTTTGGTCATTGTCAGGATGCAACTGGGTTGAAACCTGCAATCCTGTTATGAAATGCCTGGACAATGGTGCATGGCTCCCAGGAGTGAGGGAGAAGGGAAAAACTAAACTCTTGTATAACTGGAAATAATGACTGGCAGACTTGTCTGATACAACCCAGTAATAATTTGGCTACACAGACAGAACTCCTTGTGCGGTAAATGAAGGTTTTAATGAATTGCATGTAATCAATCAAGGATCCTGCTTTTCAAAGCATATGCAGATACTAAAACACAGAGTGCCTCTGCATTTTGGTTGCCATCTATTCACAAGAACTTGCTGTACATAGTGTTTCGTTCAGCAAGTTTATCCAGCCCTTTTAGAGGTAAAGGCTAAACTTGTTTTTAATTTTCCCCCTTTTCCACTTCAAACATCATTAGTCTGAGTAGGCAGTAAATATGTCATCTTGCTTTGGCAGCAATTAGGGAAAACCAAAGTGCAAGCTTTGCCTGTTAGCCCTAGATTAATTCAATCCAAGTTGTTTTCATCAATTGCTGCAGATTACAGGGCTGGGAATCTGGGTCCAGCCTCGTGGGAGCTGTCCAGTGATTAAAGCAGATCCGTGGTTATAAGGCTTGGCTGTCCACTAGCACAAAATGTGAATTTCATGGAACATGACGGCACCATGAGAACTTGCCAGATGTATTTTTTTTTTTTTTTGTTGACTGCTCCACTTACTTGTTCTCTTCCCTCCACAGCTGCCCCATAAAGTTGGCTGTACCTGTCTGCTTGCTCCCAGTGGTAAGATGCATCTGTGCGAGTACTCTGGGAGCAGCACCTGGCCTGTTGTTAATTGTAGGGATCTTCAGAAATGGATCAACCTTCTGTTGAGTATGCAGCACTTTAAGCCAAACAGCCTGAGTGTAATTTGGAGCTGCAGCAGCTTGCACATGGATGATTTCAGTTAAGAAATGACTGCTACGCAAGGGTGTTGGTCAGGTGGTGACACTGTTGGTCAGATATGGTAGCTGAGAATGGATTTTCCTGACTTTTTCCACGGCGGGAAAAAGGAAGACTATCTCCCTTTGCTTCCTACCTCCTGCCTTTGCATGGAAACACTTGATAACAAACTTGTGACTCCATGAGGTGTGGTAGTAATATGAGAAATCACTTGGACCACACACCCTTCATAAGAGCCTGTGGCCTACTTAGGCTTTCACGGCTGCAAAGACTGGAACAGTCTCAAACTTGCCATCAGCTCCCTTTTTCCTCTTCCCCACAGGCTAATGAAGCAGGCTAGTAGAAAAGTCTAGAAAGTTTTTTTCTTTCTAGGCACTTGGAGCTGAACAGCCCTTTCTCACTTAGGGAGGTGATAATGCTTGTGCTAAATGGCAAATAGAGCTGTTGGTGATTTGGAGAATTGCTAAAGATGAGGAAAAAAGAGGACAGAGACTTACTCTGGTTTCCTGAATCTAATCTACTGCATTTCAGCAGTGGCCAAAAGTCAGTGTCCTTGACTATTTTGGCTGACCTCCGTCCAGTTTCCACCCGTGCAGCCAGCACCAGCTGGTACCCTGGTTACTGTTCTCATTGGCAAGGCCATGCGTTAGCTGGGCTGAGGACACTTTGCTTCTATTTTAACCATAGATGGCTTCTCAGAAGCTTGCTGCTAGTTGCTCAGTTGTGCTTTTCTTGTTCTTTTAATAAACCATCACTCTGTATGGTGTTTGATAAGTCATTTTGTATCAGTGAGAGGTTGCCTAACCTGCCATGTTTTTGGAGGCTCTGGATCTGAAAATCGGTCTGAACACATTCATTGTACACAAGCGGAGGTAGAAAAGAAGGCCAACAAGGCAAGAGGGAAGTTGTCTGTCATGATGATATTAGCGAGGGTGGGATTGAAGGCAAGGAGGAAAAAGAACAAAAACAAACCACAAAACCCCAAAACAAATGAAAACCATCTAAATTTTGATTGCAGCACTTGTATGATAACATCTGTCAGAACTGGTCATTACCAGAAAGCCTTCCAGGAGCCCCCTTCAGAGCTGAGCTGCTCTTGTGCAGTGGACGTGAATGTATAAATCCTAGATAGCTAGGTTTTCTGAATATTCATTTTGTATCCACTTGTGTTTGTTTGCTTTTGCAAGGACAGTAAATGAAGGTAGGAATGTGCCAGGGAGCTCTTTGTAAAAGAGCAAAGGTAGGGGCGTGGGAGCAGGTCTGCAAATGTCTGAACAGCCGGCAGAGTCATGGTCACCCCATGTGAAAAGCAACAAGTACTCTTTGTTCTTGCCTGTTGCTGTAGACGGGAGGTGTAAAGTGCTGACATACCTGGTTGGAGTTCTCATTCTGTCAGGGTGCCCCCTGGCAGGTCCCTTCCAGCCGGCACGTAGCCTCCGCATCATCCAGCTACCTCAACTATCAACATGTTTACAACAGCACTGAAGAAGTAAACTCTCAACCAGCAACAAATCTGTCCGCAGATGGGGAAGAAACAAGCACAGAGTCTCCAGAGGCTATTTGGGCCAACTTATGCTGATGTCAGCATGTCAAGGGGACTGCCTTTATTGGCCTGAGGGGTACGTTTGCACTGGTGTGTGGAAATGGAGAGTGTGTATCTAAATACTGAGATGTTACACTGTGTACAGTTAATGGGACACTCGTGCAACAGCTGTTGCTGCTGTGTTTAAAAAATGGTCATCCCAGCCCTGTGATAGTATCTGATTGTAGAGATTACTTTAATTTTGTTTTTATTAAAAGTGCTTTACGTTTCTAGAGCTCTTAATTGGAAAGGTCAACAGCAGTGTAAGCTAAATGATTCCTGAGTCCACATGCTCTGAGTGCCCTTTCCATCCAGCATGGCTGTAACAGCCCCACCTAATGCATGCACAGTTGAAGGACTGAAGGCAGCAATTTATCCTATTAGGTCTTTCTCATCAGCACATGTTCTTTTCTTACAAAAAGCTTCTTCATGCAAGATCTTGGACCATTTCCCTGCTCTCCACCCCTCCAGAGAGACATAAGGGAAGTTCCACCATGGGAAACTGGATAAAAGTTTGAAGAGTAGATAGCAAAGAACAATCCTGCTCTGAGGGAACAAGGAGGGGCCAGAGGTGATCTAACATATCTGTGACCTTTAGGATAGCAGCTGTGATGGCATTGCAAGTTGTGTAAACAGTGTCCATCTGTAGCTCTTGTGTAACTGTGTCTGAGTACCTAGGACAACATTATCTTAGCTAGAATCTTGGAGCAAGTGACAATGAAGTAGCAGCATTGCGGCTGACATCATGTGTTTACACTGGTGAAGTCAGGGGAAGACTCAGTCCATCTGAGTGACCTTATTGAGCTAAGCTGGCAGGCGGAGTGACAGCAAGCAGAAGTCACTTGGTGTCAAGCTGCAGCCAAAATGCGTAGGAAGGAATCATTGTTTTGTTTTGCTTTGTTGAGAGTTGTGTACACAGCAGGAGGGTCAGCACAATACCTAAGAATCACAGCAGTTAACATAGCAGTAGTACTGATGGGTTTGCCCTTCTCTTGGTCCCTTAGGACGTCTTGCTGCTGAGTCAGTTTATCCGTTCTGATGGAGGGATGCTGCCACGAAGGATCACAGGCCTTTGTTTGGAGGAGCACAAGAAGATTGCTGTTTGTGTGCAGATGGCTCACCGTGCAGGTACGTAGCCTTCTCGTAAGACAACCCCTTGCTGTGGCATACCCATAAAAGCCCTTGAGAGGGGTCTCCTATCCAATTAGTGTAGCTCAGTGAGATGTCATTCTTCAGTCACCCAGCAGACTCATTATGGTCCAAGTGCTGGGACAGGATGATGAACCACAGGCTACTTGTTCCACTTTCTGTGTGTCTTGGCTCCTGCCTTGGCAGCAGACGTTTATCCCTGCAGATGGGTCTACCATTGCAGAAAGATCTGGGAAGTGGTGCAGTTTCTCATAACTAATGATTAAATACCAGCATCTGAAGTTACTTGATTTAGTGTAAGCTTGACCTACCCCGTTAATAGCATAGTAGCACCTGTTTACCATCTGCCATGTGAAAGCTTTTTTGCTTTATCCTGGGGGTAGGACCCAGGTTGACAGAGTCAAGAGTATAGTGCTGATCTTTATGCCTGGTACCTGAGTTGTATCCAAGTTAAATGGACTGAGAATTTTAATGGTCAGGTTTTTATCCTAGAGATGGAATCTGATTTGAAATCAGTGCCCTAAGTCCTCTCAAAAAGCCTCTTCAGTGAGCCCAAGTGGCTGTGTCTTTGGTGTGCATTTCCTCTCTATACACAGCAAAAACTCCTAGCTTCTTTTTGGCTGGGGGTGCAGGGTCAGCAGTGACTAAAGATAAAATACCCTTTCTACTGTACTGGAGTTTTTGCTGTGCTCTCCCAGTAGAGCCTGGGGTCACTGGGCTTACAAGGTGTAATGTAACTTCTGGATGCTCTAGAGGCAAGAAGGAACTGCAAAATATTCTCATGCCTTTCTTTTTCTGTTTCAGGTTTGTTGCCAAACCACAGACCTCCACTTCCTGAAGGGCATATTCCCAAGAAACCCAAACTCAACAGGTGAATAGTCTTGTCTTTCCACATCCCTTTTTCAGCATTAGATTGGAAAAGGAAAAGCAGTTCCTTGTAACTGGGTAAAAGATGCTTCAGGCAACAGGACTCATGAAGTGTACTCATAGCATTTCAGAGAAGGTCGGCCTATTGTGATATTCTGTCAGTCTTAAGGACAAACCATATGTCATTCAAACCATTTATCCACACAGGGTTAAAACTGCCACACATGTTTGAGTCTGCCCTCCCTTTCTCAGCTCCTCTCACCTCCATGTCACCAACACTCAGTAGGGCAGTCACAGGACACAGAGTAGCTGAGGTTGGAAGGGGCCTCTGGAGATCATCTAGTCCAAGCCCCCTGCTCAGCTCAAGCAGGGTCACCTAGAGCAGGTTATCCAGGACTATGTCCAGTCAGGTTTTGAATATCTCCAAGGATGGACCTTCCACAGTTCTCTGGGAAGCTTATTCCAGAGAACCACCCTCATGGCGAGACAGTGTTTTCTTATGTTTAGACAGAATTTATTGTGTTTGAATTTGTGCCCATTGCCTCTTGTCACTGGCCACCACTGGGAAGATGCTGGCTCAATTGTCTTTACACCCTTCCTTCAGGTATTTCTAAACATTGCTAAGACCCCTCTGAATCATCTTTTCTCCAGGCTGAGCAGTCCCTTCTCTCTTGCCTTTTGGTGCCTGGCCCCCAACAACAGTGGGGTCCCCAGGAAGGGTACCAGCAGTGAGTGTGGGGCTGAGCAGCCAGCAGGGGCCTATCACAAGCCTGTTCTCCTCTGCCTCGTCCCCATTTCCCCCAGTCAGTGATTCACCCTCTGCCTGCCTTTCCCATGCAACAGGGTCTCTTCCCCCTCCCCAGCCTGAATGGCCCCTGGCCTTTGGTGGGCAAAGGGAAGGCCTGTGTCCACCTCCTGCGCTGTGCCGGGCACTCGGAGGTGCTAATCCCCTGTTTATGACCTCACACTCTGTTTCCATGGGGATGTCAGAGCGGTTTATGAACCTCGCATTAGCAAGCTGTGGGATTACCAGGGGCCATGGGGCTGTCGCTAGGAGAGCTTAGGCTGCAGGGCTGGGGAAGGCTGGAGACTCCTGCATTTCAGGTCCGCATTCATTTCTGCAGGGGGGATTTGAGGCAAGCTCTTGGGAATGTCCCTTGGATGCTGGTGGGCTATGTACTGCCTATCAGTGAGGATCAAATTAGAGGAGTCTACATCTGATGCAGCCCTGTAGCCATCGGATACTTTTTAACTCTGAAAACTTCTTCTTCCCTGTGTCTTACAAGTCTTTGGGATGCTTTAGCAGCTGTCTCTGTCTAGCAGCTGTGGGGTGGAGTGCATTATCTAGTTAGCATTCACATAGCAACCCTGCATAGCAGGTTGAGACAGGAAATAGTAAATCCTGTATCGCTGGAATCACACCAGGACTCCAGCTATAATGCCCTGACTCTTACAAGTTGTTCCATGGACTTTCAGTGAGAACAAAGAACAGATACCTCTGGGTACGTTCTATGTGCAGGTAGGTGAGGTACACTTCTAAAATTAAAGAGATTTAAATTGGAGATTAGTATCCAAGCCCTCCC